CGGGTCGGGCGGCAGAGCTGCGAGAAGCGGGCACGAGGGAGATGTTCAGCTGTTTCCCTTTGCAGACTGGGAATGACCTTGTTTTGGCGACTGAAATGGAAGGTCCTGCCCTTGGTGGTCATCAGTGTTGCCTTCTGTGACGTCAAGAAGAAAACGATAAAAGGATAATTTAGTTTGTCTTTTCATATGTGAGTTACTAATAACATATAGTAAGCGTGCTTTTTATAGCACACTCTCCAAAGCTTTCTGATTTTTCAGTAGTGTTATTTCAATTATTTGTTTGCCCTAGATTCATATTTATTGGGCGGAGAGAAAATTGGGCTCTAAGTGATTGTTTTCAAAACCAGAATGTAACCGGTGACATTTTTCTGTGAGGCTGAGCCCTGGGGGGGAAAAGGGGGTTTCGAACTGCCTCAGTGTGCTACTGAGTGGGTCCTGCAGCCCTGCTCTCTGCTCTGTACCCACCTCCTTCTCCCCCTCCGTGGCAGTGTGGAAGTGGCACTTGTCTGGTTTGCCTCAGGGGTCGCATTTTCCAACTGATGAAGCAAACGCCGCTTTACCGTTGGAGAGCGAACAGTTGGGGATGTGGGAGGTTTGCTTTGGGCTTCTGTCATTGTGGGGCGTGAAACAGTTTACAAGAGGTGTGCAGGTTTAGAGTATGGTAAATGTTTTACCCATCCTGGCTGCTTGAGAGTTTTGCAGGATTATTCAGTACGTGCAAAAGTCCTATGTTAGCTCGTATTTTTGATAGCTGTTGCTTAAAAATAGCCTGATGCTTTTAAAACTAAAAATGCCAAGGAACGAGGGAAATCAGTGTGATACCTGGAACCCTACGGAATTTCCTCCCGCTGTAGTTTGATACACAGTTGCCAAAAATGAACCTTTCCCATTTGTTCTCATGACAGCTAAGTGCTGCAAAAATAGTATTACTTTATTAAATCATGCTAGTAAACAAGGTAAGCACAGTTTCTTTTCATTATTGCCAGCGCAGCGTATTTAGAGCTTTGTTTACACGGATCTGCTGAAGTGCTGGTTGTCTTGCTTTCTCAGTTTAGCTAACCATCGGAATGTCCAAATGGTGATGAGTTATGTCTACTTTAGAGCCAAAACATATTTGGTTCATGGCCAGAATTGCTCAGCTTCCCATAACAGTCTGTAGGAAAAAGACATTTTCCGTGTCTAACCACAGCCCTAAAGTTGATGCCATAGCAACTTTGTGATCTGAGTATGTACTTATGAAGACGGCTAAGCAGCCTTAGCAGAGGTGTTCTGTTTTTCTTTAGCTGAACTTCTTACTGTCATCAAGATTAAACCTTTCTTTGAAGATGAAAGATTAATCAGCAAGCCTTCAAACTCTTCTCTGTGTAAGAACATCAACCTGATCTGTTGGTTATTTGTAGTGACACCCATAAACATCTTTAAGTTGAAATTTATATTAATGGTTTTAAAACTAAGATTTTTCTGTAGAGATGTGGCTCTGACTAAAAATTGGTATTTCA